GCAATTCTAAATTTCTACAGGTTCTCGCATCTTCTATGTACTTGTTACATTTGTAGTGGGTGTTGATACTGGTTCCAGATGCGCTGTGAGTCCCAGTGTATAAGAATTGTTGTCAACATATTGCTTTTTTGCATGATAGCATGTTTCCTTTAAGTTAAATAAGCCAGTTTCGGCATCATGAGTTTCCGTCATATCCATTCGGACGTCTTGCGACGACGTAAGAAAAAATGTTACAGCCTTGCCACCCACCTTGGCACACCCGGAGTGGTGAAGCAGTACAAAGAAGCTCGCAATAAATGTATCGCCGCCATCTGCCGGTCTCGAATTTGCTTTGAAACACGTCTTGCCCAGGCTTCATTGCAACATCCAAAGACGTTATTTTTCTACATGAAATAAGATGTGTCGTGATATACCTACCCTAATCAATGGGACTGAAACTGAGTTTGGTTGGTGACTATAGGGAAAAAGCAGAAACCATGACTAGATATGTCTGAGGTCCTCACACAGGAATCTTCTGTGGACACTTATCCAACAGTAGAAGCATTGACATCCAACAGAACAAACTCTCTGGATGTCGATCACAATGATGTATTTTGGATATTAAGTAATCACGACATGGAAAAATCAACGAGACCGGATGAGCTACACCCAAGGCTGCTCAGAGAGCTTGAACTCTATGTAGCCGGCCCATTGAACACCATATTCATACTCTCTCAGTAAGGGCACACTCCCCTATAACTAGAAGGATGCCATAGTAACACCTGTCTACAAGACAGGTTTTAGGCAGCTCCCATCAAATTGCAGACCCATAAGTTTGACTAGTACTGTAGTAAAAATCCTAGAAAGAGTAGTCAAGAAACCCATTACAGTCCACATAGAGAGCAACACTTTATTGTCTCGTTCGCAGCATGTCTTTCGTAGAAATTTCTCCTGCTTGACGAACTTTCTCAAAGTCAGAGGAAGTGAGGCAGTCCTCAACCAACAAATCTGAATATATAGGAGATGATCATCTCATATACGGCTATAGTTCACTTTTAAAAGTACATTTCCTGTGGCCATCTCTCATTATCTTCACTTGGATGATTTCGGAATCAGATCCAGATTTGTTGTTTGAGGATAGAAGGCTGTGAGCCTATGTTAGTCCTTTTTAAGTAAATTTCTGTACTTGTCCAGTTCCCTTTTGAACGAGTCAATTGATGATGGGACACTTCTTCTAGGAGTTGGTTCCAGGAGTTGATCACTCGGTGCAACAACTAGTACTTTGCGAAGACCATGCTCGTCCTTTGCTTTTGTAGTCTCCTGGTATGTTCTCTGAGGTGTGCCGACCTATTGGTAAGGAAAAGAGAAGACAGATCAGGTCCAATGTCATTTTTTAGAATCTTGTAAAGAATGATTTGATCTCTTCTCTGTCTGTGACGGGATAGTGAGAAGAGGTTCAGGTCCCTATGTCGATCTTTATGGGTGAAGCCAGCCATCGCAAGGATCATACGAGTCGCTGCCCTCTGAACTCTTTCTAGAAGGCCTGAGTCACCTTTCAGATAAGGATTTTTCGCCTGTGTACAGTTTTCTAATGTAGACCTAACTAAGGATGTTTATAAGATGATGAACATGTCACCACTTATTTTCGAAAACGTTCTGCGTAATGCTCAGAGAGTCCTAAAACTTCAGGCCGCTACTAATCTACGGTGCATATTGGTTTTCAAATCATAATTTGCTGTGACTCGGCAAAGTTTTTTAATGGAAGCCAGATCCATTGTAGTACATTTTATGAATCGTGTGACAGTGATTACCTGATATTTAATAAGGTGAATCAGTGATTACTGACCATTCTGGTTACAAAATTAATCAAACTAACAATAACTTGCGAGTAACATGAACTGTCAGAAGATGAATCAGCTCGTAGAAGTTTCAGTGGAAACATATGTTTTCAATCATGTGATTAAGAATATGAAAAATAACACTGGTGAAGTGTAGTTAATCGCTCTCTAACAAATTTGTTCTACAATCAATATGATGCCTTCAACCTTAGCTAATTTTTCGAATTATAGAAACAATTTTTCGTATAAGACTGTGATTTTGTTATTATCTGTAGACAGTCAAATCGCATACTAAGAGATTCTTCAGAAGTCATCACTTCTATCTTTTCTAATATTCTCTGTAGCATGTTTTGAAGTATACTGTATTAACTCGAGTAATCGCGCTCTGTCGTTAAAAAACTGTTTGGTATATTTACATTTATTTATCCGTGTCTTAGTCTTCACGTACATATAGCTTAAAGACTAGCAATTAATGATTATTCCCACTTGTATCTATGTTTGGACCATAATATAGGATCCTGGTTAGATGTTTTTTACAATATTGCAGTTCCCATTATCTTGAAATGATCCACGTTAATGTGAAGTTTAACCATCCCTATAGTGCCAGTTTAAGTGTCTCTGAATTCCCTCCTCTCCATTTCAGTAATTTTAAGTATCATGCATAAACGAAGATAAGCATCGTTTTAAAGGCGGTACAACTAAAAGGAAGATAGTATATGGTTCACTCAACTTTTCAAGGCCTATTTCGTGACTTTATTTTCCTCAACAAAGTTTTAGATCTTAAGTTAAACTTTATGTTAATTATTTGTTCACTCCAATTACCAATCTGTAAAACATTCCGCTTGGGGAAGTATCGAAATCTTACCATGATTACCTTCTCCAAAAACATTTGACCCCTAAATCCAGAACATATAAAAGTGAGTCTTGGACTTACATGTAGTTCCCAGTGAATTCACTTTTTAGTGCATCATAAAGCATACTGATGCTCACTTTTCTCAGCAGTGATTGCATAAATCACATCAGACTGTGATACGCTTAATCTAACACCATTACTACGATAGTAGGTCATGTTTTGTGGAAAACCTGTATTTTGCTCCAAATCCATGGTGAATAAATAATTGAAAACTAATTTTTCATATCCATGTGTTTTATAGATCTCAGTTACAACTTACAGCAGGCTAAAAAATATATCCACTATGTAAACAGGGAGTCTAAGTTCTTACAATGTGTGCCAAGAATAAGAATTGCTATACTGCTCACGATAAAACACACTTCAGCAGTTATTTGTTAAAAACTTAGTGGAACTAATTAGGACAATATTTTTATCAGTTAATTCTTCCGAAGTGTTTATTCAGAACATTTTTATTGCAAAGTCACATTATGGGATAGTATTCTTTTTGCTGTAGAACTGTCAGTATCATGCAGTTTACACCTCAATAAAACTTACACTTACAATTTGTTACACGGAAGGTGCAAACAAGGGATTTTGTAGTTTCTTTGTTCCACATTATTCCGTCTTCTTTAGCAGGGGTTCTTGGATAGTTTTTCACATCACCTCGCTGCTGAAACAGTAGTAACCTCGTTGAATTTTGAATTTACGAAACCCTTGTAACCAAGACGTGTCATGCCACTAAGTTCTTTTATCATTAATCAAGCCGTTTGACTTCATTTTCAGCCAGGCTCTTATTCTTTATCGAGTCAATTTTGTATCACACCTAACATCGAAACTCGAATTCGTCAAATTGTCACAAGTATCGCACATTGGTTATGCTCACTTTGCTAATTAGACTAAAACCAATTCGGTCCCCTAGAATTGTAGAAATTTTATCCAGAAAATCTTTTCCTGTACAAAAAAATAATCGGTTAATGCTTCTTATCAATTCCCATTATATTATCTCTTAAAGTAAATGAAGTGGGACTAAAAATGATTCATGTATTCGTAAGTTTTAACTTTACATCCATGCAACTAAAATCGCTCTCTTATTCCTCAGCTTTAAAACAAACAGGTTAAAATTAGCAAAATGAAATAAATGTAGATTAATCATAAAAAATCATAATGCGAATTATTTTTGATTTTTCCTGTACATCCTAAAGAATAAATCTTAATGCTGACCATTTGTTATTTTCAAGTTCTAAATACTCTAACGAGTATTTATGTTATTTGTAATCAGTATACCATAGTTATTCATCGATATAAAGCTTATCTATTCGATTTCTTGTTGCCAAAATATAGTAGTGATAGAATATGAGAGGCTGAAGCTCAAAAAGACATTCATTCTAATAAAATAACTCACAAATCATTTAACTATCATCAATAGTACCATTGTGGAGATCTTGTTAACTACATTTGACGAAAACTAAAGGGCTTCCAACTTCTTCACCATATAACAAATGTGTCCGAGTTATTTATTCATAGTCTTCATGAAATAAGTATTTAAAATAAGTTTCATAATTTAAACGATGAGTATGCAGTTTTATGTAGTGAATACGAGTCAATATGAAAGTACACTTTTTCCTCTGCAGTTTTGAAAACATTTTATTTCTTGTCATTTAATTTTGTTAACGAACACAACAGATGGATGAGAGATTTATTTTCTATGCACTTAAGTAGAAGTCCAAACAAGTGGAATATCTACAGTTCATAGAAAATTGAAAGCAATTTTCAACTAAACTGACTTCTAGCCGGAGGGTTTATTGGAAGCCACGTGTTGCAGTAATTCCAGATATAAAATCATAGAGATTTTCTAACAAACTTATTGCTTTGGATCTTAGAGCATATATATTTCATCGAATGAACCCTATACCTCCAAGAAAGACCAGTATAAAAACTTGGCTCTACCGCTAAGGCGGCATTTAAATCCTTTTTTAAAATCACACCCTTTCTAAAATAACTAATGTTAAAGAATGCATTATAGTATTTCATTGTCATGTGTACTAAATTTTTAAATGTCACTGTTAAAGTCTGTATATCGAAATACTCTCCAACTCTAAAATAATTCACTCTTCAGTGATGCACAAAGCTATCAATCACTTACCGATCATTTTCAAAGAGTTGTAACGACCAGCTGTTAATGCGTTTTCGTCTAGGCTGTAGGTAGGTACGTTGTTGCAGGGGTGGGGGCACGTAGAGCACTGTGAGTTTGGTGGTGATTACGAGAATCTGGAAGGCAAAGGAGAAAGAGAGAAAAAGGTGAGCTGATAAGTCAGCAAGTACAGAGTTAGTAGCTGGAGGTTGATTAGTCAACACTAAATTTCCTACCCTGTTTTCCCATTTTATTTGAACTACAACTTTGATAAACCGAAAAGCCTAGAACATGAACGATAGAATAAAAAATGAAATATTGCAGAAGAAAAAGTGAGGAGGTAAGATTTCAGTCATTTTTGTTCGTGATGGTGGTTCATAACCTACGGAATATATCTAACTAAAATTATTATTCAGATTTCAGACCTGAAAATTAGTGTAGGAAATTGAACATATTTATTGGGTAGTAGTAAACAACACAGTAAATACTTTTGGTCTTTTAAACTACTGGTCAGACAGCTGATACAGAAGTTGCTGTGACAGATTATTTCTTAGTGTTACGCACACTTGTATATAACGATCCGAGTGCTGACCAATAACTAAGTTTTTTTTAAAATGAGGTGCAACGCAAATCCAAGGTTGTGAGATTAAGAGTGGTAGGGACGGTAAACACTTGTGAAATTTTGTCTAACTTATGTACTTAAATATACATAAAAGTTGAAACCCAAGTGGTCTAATATCATGTGTTGAAATAATGGCCACTTTGCAATTTGTAAGCGCTTGAAGTTTGATGTTATCGAGTATAGATGACGGGTAAACAATCCATCTTTCTAAACACCACTGGTACCATTTGTGAGTGACATATTTGGATCTCTTTTCCTTTTCGTAACGAAGTAATACGACTGGTGACATCTAACTCCTCAGCCAAACACTTAATCATTGTAAGGGGACAAAAACAGACCACTTAAATTGAATGTCGGTACTGTTTTATCTAGAAACTTTGGGTATTACCTCAGTACCAGTAATTTAATTATTCTATTCGTGCAAATGTTACGGTGATCCAAAAATCATACATTTTTATTGTTCAAGCATTCTTCAACTACGTGGTGACTATGTTGCAGCAAAACGTATTGGATTTAATCGCTCAAAAATTTTCAAAATGCTAACAAACGAATCCACCTTTTGTTAAAAGTAGACCACCTTTGGTAAAATTTGTAACTATTCTACAAAATAGTATATTATTATCTAGCCAAAGTGCCTGAATAGCGAATGGAATGCTCTTATTTGTTGGAAATTTGACATTTCACAATAAATATAATCTGGTGTAGTTATTTGGTTTCAAAGTGGTTCCACCTCAAGTAATTATTCTTGGAAAGTAAAGACTAGTTGGTTCTAAAACATAGTGTATAATGAGTCGTGGAATTCATACCTCTACATTTACGTCCATTTCAACTGAGATGGTACAGTGATGAAAATCAAACATTGCAATGTCTTTTTTCACAGATTGTATCTATTTTAAAATACTATCTATCCATGGACTAAATTACAAATAAGAACTAACACTTCGGTTTTTTTTGCATTTTTTGAAAGCTAACCTTAAATGCTATTTGGGCACTCAAGTTTAAGAAAAGCAGTTTTTTGTAACTTTATGGAAATTACATGATGCAATTCTTAACAAGGTAAAGTTTTCATATTACAAATTTAACATCTGCTTGAGAATATACCATGTGGAAAGAAATGACAATTAACCCATTTGCTAGCAAACATAGTCAAAACACAAAAACAAACAGCATTGTTTTCAATGAGGTGTTTTAGGCGAAAACAGCGTTGTTCGCTTGCATGTCTTGCTTTAAATTTAACAGCAGGAATTTCTAACATTTCTAAATAAAGTTTTATATATCTTGGTGAAATAATTTGGTGATTTTCAGAAGGAAAGTATGTGGATAATTCAACTTATGCTGGTCAGAGATACAATCAACTGTGACAGCACGAATTATCACAGATACTTCTATTAAGAAAAAACCTTATTATTACTTTCTACCACAAATGAAATAACCATTTGAACGGACCACAAAAACCTTCCTGAAAGTAGCACTTTATGGATTCACCTTCTGAAATCACACTTACGGAGATAAAGATAAGCTAGAAACTTTGTGAAAGTAATTTTAGTTAAAAGTGCCCGATTTTTCACCATTCTGCATAAACCATCTACTTCTGGAACCAAAGTAATTCAGGAAAGAATTCAGTCAAATAATGGAATCAGAAAAGTTATTTAAGTAATAAAGGTTTTACAATAACTTGAAACCGTAAATTTTTTCGTTTTAACAATCTACTCCTCTAGGAGTACTGAATGTGTTACTGTTATGTAACGCTTAACTAAACCTGCTTAACTCGATGTACTCTATTATCTGCTTAGCGTACGAGCACTGATAGCAGAACACAGATCAAAAAGACCGTTGTTCAGGAATATATTCCAAGGAGCAATATATTTAAACAGAGTAAATGTGAGAACGATTATTAGGGAAAACGTTTATCCAATATCTAATATGGCTGAGCTAGGGACTCTGAGAACCTGCGTGTTAACCAGCACAAAAATGGCATCGAAGCCTGCTTGGATGCATAGTCATTAAAACAAAACTTAAAACGACTTAGACATTCAGAAGGAAAGCTAGAAAATTATCTAGTTAATATTTAGTTAATTTAATTAATTCTATTTATTTTAGCCCTAGTTGCATTTAGGTGACGGGAAAGTACACTACACTATTAAGAATGTGAGTCATTCTGTAGCGATAAACAAACACAAATATTCAATCACTTTTATGTGATTCGATTCATTTCATTTGAAGATAGTTAATGATCTTACCTAATTGCATCACTGGATATGATTTTAATGTATATGTACTGTAATATCTAGTTGCATTGCTGTTGTTAAAGTTAGATTTTCTAGAAATTTTTAAGACGTCTAACTATACTGGCCATGACGACGTATAAATAATTCGCACAGTGATTCTTTTAAGTGTATTCCCTTTAGCCACTTTCCTACAGGTAAAAACCAAAGAAACGATAAATTTCCCCAAGGTTGAAAGTTATAATAATAATAATATTTTTACTCTTGTACAATGGATTTATAGCCATATGATTCTCGTAACAGATACGTGTCATCTTAGATATTACCGAAAAATATTAAAATCTGTTGGTCATCAGTATATTTCATAATTATTTGTATTTTATCTTTGAATTATGAAGTACAGTTCAACAATTCTTGAGGCAGTCATCATGCTTATTTCATAAAATGATGAACATTTTTGCAGTCAACTGTCATAAACAAATTAAGTGGCTAGTTTAAAAGCCAACTGAAAAAGTGGAGAATTGATTTATTAGACGTTTTGTTGACTCCTGAAGTTTAATAGGTACATGAAAAAAACACAATCTGGTTGTAATTGTGGTTATTACATGTTGATTCATAAGCCCTTTTATTTGTGATATTAATCGAAGTCAAACAATTGTTGTAAAAACCACAATTTTAATACCTATTCACTGAAAGGTAACTACAGGTAATGTATATTCACAACGTGAGTAGAACCCAAAAACCGGCTTAAACTCTATCATTTTCAGTTATTCTGGACTGTAAAGAATAATAAGTGGTCGTCGTAAACATATTTTTTCCATTATCAGCCAAATTATGAACAGTTTTTTTACTTAGGCCTTTATTGTCGCCCCAAGTAAGTGAATAAACCAAACGAAATATTTTTCTTCGAAACTGACCTATCGTTAAATAAAACATCATTTTAGTAAGAAAATAACATACTTTCTTTGCACTTATTATAAAGGATAACAGTTATCTAATACACAAGCATTCATTTCTATTTACTGTTATGCTTTATTTTATTTGATGTTTTATTCGCCTTACAAGCATATAACATAATTACATTCCCTCATTTGAACTCTGCACAGGTATTGGGTCAAAATTATGCGTAATGTATCTAAATTAGCATTATTTCGTATTTCAATGTGGTATCCATCCTAGACTGATATCAGATGAAGAGACATTGAAAACCTGGGAGTACTCGATAGATGTTTCGACCTGGTTTCTATGGGACTCCTTAGCGGTGCACACGTATGACCCCACTAAAGATCAAACCCAGAATGTTTACCTCGCAGTCACTACATAGTCATTCGGTCAGTGGGTCGAAAAATGAATTTATTTCATGCTGTATACTGTTAATTCAACTCTCCAAAGAATCAAATGAATGCTAGTTAGATGGAGCCAATCCGGAAGAAACTACGGACCTAGGCTTTGTTTTTGTCGGTACTGGTAAGTAAGGCGTGTCTGCAACCTCAACGGAAGTGGTGTCCCACTTGAAATCCAAACCCGCATCACCAAGCGTTGAATTCGAAGACGTCACCACTGAACTATCCGGGTATTAATTGACCTACTGTAGGACTAGTTTAAGTACAATTATCAGTTACTGGAGAGTAACTAATTTCATGCAGTCCAGTCCTAAGTGTTGATCGAACTCCGGCCCTCACTTTGCAATGTGACCAACAGGCTAGGAGGTACGAAACCTAGGTCTAGGACTTCCTGCCGATTGGTCCCAGCTAACTAACATCTATCTCAGTGAACCTCCTAGCTTGATGGTTATATTTCAAAATGATAGGCAGAGTTCGATCAACACTTAGGATTAGGCAACGTGAAATTGGTTACTCTGGAGTAAATAATCAATGAATCAAATGACTGGTCAACACAAATGATAAACTTTTGTACACAGAGTGCGGTTCATGAATCACATAGTATGTAGTTGCTTTAAGACTTGTTTGCAAATCTCTTCTTCGTCAATCACTTACTATGTGCTCTAGCTACTACTTTGAACAGTCCTTTGACGACAAGTACTATCTGCAAAGTTTACATTTCAGGTAGGCAATAGAAAGCCAAATATCACTCTGTATCATTTACGCAGCGATTCTTTTAAGTGTATTCCCTTCAGCCACTTTCCTACAAGTAAAAACCAAAGAAACGATAAATTTCCCCAAGGTTGAAAGTTATAATAATAATGTTTTTACCCTCGTAAAATGAATTTATAGCCATATGATTCTAGTAACAAAGTAGCTATAAGACAAACGAAAAAAGCTATCTGAAGTCTGAAACTCTTATTCTCACCCATAGAATCAACTTAGTTTAATAAAACTAAAATTGGGTTCTAGAATAAAACAATATTGACACAGCAACTGATAGGAAGACGACCAACTTTCCTATTAATGAAAATTTTAGAATAAACCACGAGTTGATACAGCTGAAACATTATAAACACATTTTGATTAGTCAGTAATTAATAGCTATTTGTTTCACAAAGCATATAGATTAAGGTGTTAATAAAGATGATCACTAGATTACACTTACGAAACAAAGTCAACTGATATGAAGGGCAACGCTTCATATGACTTTCAAGCAACATTTCACACTACATTGCACCATCATATATTCATTAAAATGTCATCATGTCTTCAAATCAAAACAAAAGTACTTCATAAACACTACATTTTATAAGCTAGCTTTACTCATTTACGAAATAAAACACTCCAGTCAGTTAACATTTCAAAATACCAGAAATCAAAAGTGTGAAAATTCTGAAGTTATCGAAAGGACCAAGTAGTATATGCACGGTTTACAAAAGCATACTATTCATTTGCCCGTTATGAGGATACAACAAGCACCAAGGTGTACAAGACAGCGACACGATCAAGATATTTTAACTTCATCGAAGAGAGATTTCCGTATAGCAGTCCTCCTGCACACATTCATATAACCATTCTGCTTAAATAATTTCAACTCATCAACCATTTCATTTAACTGAATACTGTTTTTGTGGTAAAATTTCAGTGAAACCAATGGATAAATGAATGTGATTTCACTTTAGTTGGTTTATTAGATCTGTCACACAGTGGAACAGTATTATTTACTCGTTTGCGTTTTGGACAAAATTTATATTGACCATAGTCACTTCAAGATAACTCCACAACTTTGAGACATGATTTATACAGGAGGCAAGAAAATTAGAACTATGTAAATCATGTCTCAAAGTTGTGGAGTTATCTTCATACTTCTATTGGCAATATATTATGTCCGGAACATAATCCAGTAAACAATACTATCCCATTGTGTGATACACCTAATAAATCAACTAAAATGGAATTACACTCTACCACAGTTCCCAAGTTGTTAATAAATGGAAGCGGTGTACATCTATTGAAGTCCTTCATGCACTCGGCCTACGCAATTTTTGTAAACCTATTAAAATTCATTATGTTCACTCAGATTTAGATAAATTGTGTATCAGTCAAGAACAGAAGGTTTAAGCAGGCTTCTAATATTCTGTCTCTATTCATTTTGAAAATCAGTCGTGGCTAGAAACTACCGGGGTAAAAATCTATGGAAAATAGGTGTAGTAAGAAAGAAAATTGGAGGAGTACTTTAAGAACTGCAAATTGGTCCAGAAATCTAGAGGAGACATGTAAATCAATTCAGACCAAGACGCCATAACCGCAGTAGTAATGATAAACCCTTCGACTTGCTACTAGATGTGTTACTGGACAATTCAAAACAATCACAAAACGATTTACGACTTTCAGACCACAAGGTGAACTGCCGAAATTCTGATGGTCCATCACAGCGTCGGACGAC